ACCTCTCCCCCGGTCAGTGCTCTAAGCTGCCCTTCCACGTAGAAGTGAAAATCCTTTCAAAAGTCACCAGGTCATTGTTCTGCCAAGGGCAACTTCCAGAACGCAAAACTGAAGAACAAACAGCGGCAAAAGCCCCTGAGCAGCTGACACGGGGACGGCGAAGCCTGGCGACACAGCACCTGCGCGCCGGCACCTAGCCTGACGCGCGCGCCTCACTCGGAGCCCGTCTCCTAGTGTGGACCCAGCTCTGACGGCGGGTTTCTCAGTCCTCAGAAGCGGCCTCCAGACAACCGGGAGTGACCCCCCCTCCGCCAGCGGGAAGGAGGAGACAGGCAAAGAGCAGATCAACAGACACGGGGCTTGAGAGCCTGGCACCCGTGGTCATCCGGGCAGGTTTACACAGCCCTCCAGGCGGGAGCCCTTCAGAGAGCTTCCCATCAAATCTGTCTAAAACCACGTCAGGACCTGAAACATAACAGCTTTAGTAATCTGAAAATGTCACTTAGAAAAGCTGCCGGATAAGAAAGAGTAGTGTCAGTCCCCCCCTGCAGTCACCCACGGACAGGCGAGCCCGAGGAATGGCAGGCTGCCGACTTCCCGAGAGGAGGCTCCCTCCGGGCGCTGCGGACACTCACTGCACACTGCGTTGCTCAAGGAAATGTGGGGGCCGTCTGGTCCTCGGAGAGCGGGCTGGGGGGAAGGGTATTTCCTGGGGCAAGGGCGGGCGGGGAGGAGGGCAGGGCAGGCTACCGTGGGCCAGGGTCCGGCGGAGCTCCAGGAGGCTGCGGAAGGACAGGGAGGCCACGTGGGGCTTCCCCCAGCGCTCCGTCTCCTCCTCCACGTCCTCCTCGAACTTGATCCAGCGCGCCGTCTCCCGCCACTGAGGCTCCTGGTTTTTGTCCAGCAGCAACTCATTCAGTTCCACAAACACCTGGTGTGAAACGAGAAGGCGGGGCAGGCTCAGGGCCAGAGAGACTGTCCAGGGACTGCTCTCGACACGCAGCGTCAGGACGGAGGCACCTGACTCTGGACGGCCCAGGGCACAGGCACAGAGTCTGGGCGAGTTTCTATCCGATCTGAGACTCTCTTTCCTTCCTCTGTAAAATGGGAGCAATGCCACCCACCTCGAAGGGCTCTTACGGGGATCAAAAGAAAAACCGCACGACACACTGAGCACAACACATGACTCACGGGAAGTGCTCGAATAGTGGCTGCACGTGACTGTGCACCGCTCCACTGATGCGCACTCACGAACCGGCAAAACTAAGTGCGAGCGACAGAAGAATGGTGGCCCCTGAGGGTACTGACTGGGTGGAGGAATGAAGGGACTTTCCGAGTGAGGAAATGTCCCCTCTCGAGTAGGGGTGGCCAGGTGTTTAAGGGTGCCCACAGTCAGTGAGCACTCAGACCAAGTGCCCTTTACTGTCATCTGTTAGGCCTCGATAAAAACGTTTAAAAAATAGCCACTGGAAGGGTCAAGGTTCAGGACTGGAGCCTTGGAGCCTAAGACAGGCAGCATCGGTAAATCCCTGAGTGATCCTGGCCAATCACTGACTCTGATTTACGGCCGACACTACCTGGGCCATCATCTTCACAGGGTGTGAGGGGATCGAATGAGCATACAGGTGACTGGATTCTGGAAAATGAACTGCATGGCTCCACAGAGCCACCTCTAGTCCAAAGGGTCCACAGACACCTCACTGCCAGCCACTAACAAACGACCGTAACACAGCAACAGTGTGACAGGTGGGTACGGGACTCCTAACGCCCAAATCAACAGTGTGGAAGGCAGTCACAGCCACGAGTGGCACCTCCGGGGCTGGAGGAGGTCACTGCTGGTCCGAGAGGCGGGGAGGGGGGCCGTAGGGGGCTGGAAGCACGTGACACGGAGAACGTACCTCATGGGGCTTATGGGGGGCCCGGGGTCGGGCCCGAGGCGTGGGGCCAGGCTCACGCCCTTCCCGGCCACTCTGCACGGACCCTTTGGCATTCTTCCTCACCAGGTGCCGCCGCACCCCAGGGACGTCCTCAAACCGGTGGCCTGGGTGGGTGGAAGGGCAGGGTCAGGCCCCCGGCCTCAGCCCCGTTCCCAGCCGCCCCAGGCCCGCACTCACTCTTCATGAGGTCCAGGTCAGCCGTGGCCAGCGTCTGGGCCTCGCTCTCGTCCGTGGGG